TCCAGGACTAGCAGCTGTTACTACGTTACTATGTGTTACTGTTACTATACTCTTCAGCCTTGAATTAGTGTTTAATACCGACATGCACTGTGTATCTTCCAGGACTAGCAGCTGTTACTATGTTACTATGTGTTACTGTTACTATACTCTTCAGCCTTGAATTAGTGTTTAATACCGACATGCACTGTGTATCTTCCAGGACAAGCAGCTGTTACTATGTTACTATGTGTTACTGTTACTATACTCTTCAGCCCTGAATTAGTGTTTAATACCGACATGCACTGTGTATCTTCCAGGACAAGCAGCTGTTACTATGTTACTATGTGTTACTGTTGCTATAATCTTCAGCCTTGAATTAGTGTTTAATACCGACATGCACTGTGTATCTTCCAGGACTAGCAGCTGTTACTACGTTACTATGTGTTACTGTTACTATACTCTTCAGCCCTGAATTAGTGTTTAATACCGACATGCACTTTGTCTCTTCCAGGACTAGCAGCTGTTACTATGTTACTATGTGTTACTGTTACTATACTCTTCAGCCATGAATTAGTGTTTAATACAGACATGCACTGTGTATCTTCCAGGACTAGCAGCTGTTACTACGTTACTATGTGTTACTGTTACTATACTCTTCAGCCCTGAATTAGTGTTTAATACCGACATGCACTTTGTATCTTCCAGGACTAGCAGCTGTTACTATGTTACTATGTGTTACTGTTACTATACTCTTCAGCCATGAATTAGTGTTTGATACCAACATGCACTTTGTATCTTCCAGGACTAGCAGCTGTTACTATGTTACTATGTGTTACTGTTACTATACTCTTCAGCCCTGAACTAGTGTTTGATACCGACATGCACTGTGTATCTTCCAGGACTAGCAGCTGTTACTACGTTACTATGTGTTACTGTTACTATACTCTTCAGCCCTGAATTAGTGTTTAATACCGACATGCACTTTGTCTCTTCCAGGACTAGCAGCTGTTACTATGTTACTATGTGTTACTGTTACTATACTCTTCAGCCATGAATTAGTGTTTAATACAGACATGCACTGTGTATCTTCCAGGACTAGCAGCTGTTACTACGTTACTATGTGTTACTGTTACTATACTCTTCAGCCCTGAATTAGTGTTTAATACCGACATGCACTTTGTATCTTCCAGGACTAGCAGCTGTTACTATGTTACTATGTGTTACTGTTACTATACTCTTCAGCCATGAATTAGTGTTTGATACCAACATGCACTTTGTATCTTCCAGGACTAGCAGCTGTTACTATGTTACTATGTGTTACTGTTACTATACTCTTCAGCCCTGAACTAGTGTTTGATACCGACATGCACTGTGTATCTTCCAGGACTAGCAGCTGTTACTACGTTACTATGTGTTACTGTTACTATACTCTTCAGCCCTGAATTAGTGTTTCATACGGACATGCACTGTGTATCTTCCAGGACTAGCAGCTGTTACTATGTTACTATGTGTTACTGTTACTATACTCTTCAGCCTTGAATTAGTGTTTAATACCGACATGCACTGTGTATCTTCCAGGACTAGCAGCTGTTACTACGTTACTATGTGTTACTGTTACTATACTCTTCAGCCCTGAATTAGTGTTTAATACCGACATGCACTGTGTATCTTCCAGGACTAGCAGCTGTTACTATGTTACTATGTGTTACTGTTACTATACTCTTCAGCCTTGAATTAGTGTTTAATACCGACATGCATTAATATCTACACACCAGGAAGTTTATGAAAACATTATCAGTTAGTTCTGTAAAGTTCCGGCACAGGGATAATTTAGTATAACACCACTGCAACAAGCTAATTTGCATACCTTGTGACTGGACTTTTCTCTTGATTGTAAACAAACATGCTAATTCTGAATTCTGAGCAGTCCGGCTGAGGGTAAGCCTTTCAGGGTGACTTACATATTGTTTTGAACCAGTTATACTCTACAACTACAACAGTGAGGAGTATGACAATATATCTATACTAGGGCTGCAACGAATACACTATGAGGCGAATACGATTTGTATCATGAATATAGGGTAACGAATACGAATATTAATTCACGAATACAATTACAAGTCAGCAGTTGATGTATTATTTGTTATATTCAGTGAAATAATCACATAAATTATTTGACATGGTTTGTTAATTATTAATATATTAAACGTTAATATACTGCACTTATCCAGGTACAAGTATCTGCTCAAATGCGACAATGACCAGTGACCACAATACTGTCAAATTAAATATTATAAGAGTGTTGTTTTTGAAGAAATCTATGCATTTAATATGTTTTGATAAACTTTTATGAATATTTTTAGGTACAGGGTATGTAAATGCACATGATTGCATATTCATATATATTCAATTCTAGTGGCTACGAAAAACGAATTCAATCTATGAATGAATACGGTTCGATTCACCGAATACACAAGTGAATCGTAACAGCCCTAATCTATACACATCAAGATAACCATACCGCTAGCTACCTGCAGAGCTTTGACGTCTGCTCATGACAACCATTGTAAAGAAAGGATGATACTCAGATGGAAACAGTTTTTCATGTTTTATAATATTTTCTCAATGAAAGCTAGGAATTTCATGACGCATGTTTATCAAAATGACTTTTTTCAAGTGAAATGGACGATTAAGAAATATAATTTGTAGAATGGACTGAGTGAAAGTGAGTGAATATTGTTTTACGCCGGTTTAGCAATATTGCAGCAATATAACGGTGGGGGACACCAGAAATTGGCTTCACACAATGTGTCTATGTCGGGAATCGAACCCAGGTCTTCTGCGTGATGAGCAAACGCTTTAACCACTGGGCTACCCGACCGCCCCAGGACTGAGTTAGATGTGACAAATTGTCACATCTTGCAAGTCTGTGGCAGAGGTACTACGGTTGACAGCTAGGAGAGTGGCCTATAATAAGACGTCCTAATACCAAACCTCTACCATGGTAGTCAAACCCGAATCAAAATCGCTCAAAGGTATGAGCATTGCTGCACAAAAAAAAGTCAAATTCTTTGCAATTTTTGGGGGGTGGGGTAGCCTAGTGATAAAAGTCATCACGCCAAAGACCCAGGTTTGATTCCCCCTACATGGGTACAATGTGTGAAGCCCATTTCTGTTGTCCCCTGCTATGAAATTGCTGGAATATTGCTAAAAGCGGCGTAATGCCATACTTTTAGCAATATTTCAGCAATATCACAGTTGGGAACACCAGAAATGGTCTTCACACACTGTGGGGAATAGAACCTGGGTCTTCGATGTGACGAGTGAGTGAGTGAGTGAGGTTTTATGCCGCTTTTAGCAATATTCCAGCAAAATATCATGGCGGGGGACACCAGAAATGGGCTTCACACATTGTACCCATGTCAGGAATCGAACCTTGGTTTTCGGCATGATGAGCGAACGCTTTAACCACTAGGCTACCCGACAGCCCCATTTTATGATGGGAGACTCCAGTGGTGGGAAACCCATTTGAGGCCCGTGATTGGCTAGTCCATGATGACCCAAGGTCAGATTATGAAGGACTACTTTCCCGATTGCAATTCATTTATACGTTTCTCGTACTTCTATCGACTTCACCTACGTTTGTTTCAAAATGTTATGTTTTTAGAGTGTTTAATAATGTTCTTTATATTATCTAGTATGTATCATCAGCATCCCCTTGATAACCCACAGATAGGGTCACATTAGGTTTGAGTGGTAGTAAAACAAATCAATTTGATGATAAACGCAGGTCTAAGGCGTTCAAGAAACAGATTACTGTACGCATATCATATACAACTTAATTGCTTATTAGATACGTTTTGAAACAACTCTTTGCAATGGGTGAGTGAGTGAGTGAGGGAGTATGGCTATATCACGGCGGGGAACACCAGAAATGGGCTTCACACATTGTACCCATGTTGGGAATCAAACCCCGTGTTTTCGGCGTGACGAGCTAACGCTTTAACCACCAGGCTACTCGACCGCCCCCTTTGTAATGGTATCTGACAGAGACTCTTTTAGTAATCTCCATTTCTCATATTGTACTAATGTTTATTTTGTTTGTTTGTTGTTTAATACAGCACTCAGCAATATTCCATCTATAATGACGGCGGTCTGTAATAATTGAGTCTGGACCAGACAAACCAGTGATTGACATCATGAACATCAATCCACACAATTAGGACACGATGATATGCATCAACCAAGTCAGTGAGTCTGACCACCTGATCCCATAAGTCGCCTCTCACGACAGAATAGTCGCCTTTTACGGCAAGCGTGGGTTGCTGAAGGCCTGGACCTATGACCAGTGCATGCTTTTACAACTAGGCTACATCACCATAACATGGATCAGTAGAGAATATCATAATATCATTAACATTTGCCCAAGATAATATCAAAGTCTTCCAGTCTATAAAGACAATGATCACTAATTAGATTTATAAAAAATTGTCAAAAAATCAGAAGAACAAATAATCCACTTGCTGTGGCCTGGCTAAATGTTAGTTGCAAGTATAAAGGGTTGTGTCGACACCTGTTGTCACTTACAGAAAATCTGACATAAAGGCTGTCTACACCACTATGTACATGAATACAAGATGCACCCATCCAACCTACTTCCTACAGCGCTTGCGATCACACCATCACAATAAAAACATACTCAAAGTTTCAAATGTAACTTGACCTTCCTGTTTAACTATTGTATAGATGGCATGATCCGCGGAGCACACACAGACACTACTCTTCAGGGATCTCATATCACACCAGGTAACATCAGACCATGACAACTGAACATGGAAAGTGAAAGGTTGCGAGTTTATGACAACGTATCACCAGTATATTTATAAACAATGCAAACACACAATCCTACCCAACTGTCCCAGGTCACGAATACCATGACCAAGGGGACTCGATGTACGAGCTAATCCACTCTTGACTCTGAGCACAATCCTCAGTTAGAATCATTGAACCGTGATATATACCTTTGGAGATGGATTTGTCGATCGGTATGGCTTCCCTCCAAGCCTCAACAGAGCACTCAATCAGCTTCAGAGCTTTCCAAACAACATGTCTGGAGCATGTGCCATTTTCGTCAACAGCGTTTTTCTCGGAGATGAACAACGAATGACAGCGGTGAGAGCTGTTCCAAAAAGCTTCATCACTGGAGTGTAACAGAGGGAAGCATAGATGCAGAACTTGAATAGCAAATCTAGGTGTCTATTCCCTGTCGCTGACCCCAGTAACAACCTGTTTTATCCAGATAATATGCATGTCAAGCAAGCGGCGAGACACATCCAGTGTTTCTACCGGCTGAAAACCATGTACTGACACAATGCCCACCATTGAGCTATATTGACAAACAACCATCCCATCAAACATGACACACCTCATCAAGAGCCGTGTTATAAAGAGGGACTACATGAATAGACCCTTGTTATAATGAAGTATTGGGCAGGTGTGCCAAACCTGTTATAGCATGACCATGATTAATGAGGTATAAAACTATACATTATTGATGAAGTTCTTTCAGCAAAAATGTCTTCCTGATTTACTGCATATACAAAACTAGTTCCTATTCAGAAAAAAACCAATTAATTTTGAGGTTTTGCATTTCTTCCAACATATATTTATACCTTGATCATCTATATCAATAAGACAAGGTTTGAGTGGCTATAGCATTCCTCAAACAACCAATCTGGTTACACCGGTATCAATATGGATCATTAACTAACATGTTCCTTGAATCAAATAAGTATCAAAACAAACTGACAAATAAATAACCCAATTAACAAATGATTGAATGAATAAAAAATAAATAACTACAAGTGGTTGCATTAATCAGTGGGTGAATGACTGCATGTATAAGTGATTGCGGCTAAATAAATAATTGGTTTCTGAATAAGTGATGGGGGCTATTAAATAATTGGTTTCAGCAATGAACAACCAAGCGGAATGAAGGAACAACTGACAAAACAAACGGATGAATGAACTAATGAGGGCAAGCTGCCTCCCTCTGGGCACCATTACATGCCACTAGTTACAAGCTATCACAGGTAACGTGCCTTCAGCAGGGATCATCTCCTTGTGTGCCTGACAACTGTCCCAGTCAGCTGCTCAGAGACAGGGCAATATTGGACCATGTGAGAAGCTCTCATTATTTGCTGTGCAAACATCAACAAACCTTGCTGAGCTTTAGGAAAGGATCACTTGGCCACAGAATCATGTTTAGTTTAATAACAGAAATCATAAAACACAATCTGGAGAATCCAACAAAATTTTGTAAATTGTTGAATAAAACAAAAGCACTTTCAAAAATAAAATGAAATAAAATATTAACAACAAAAAATATATAAAAATAAAATAAATAAATAAAAATAATATTAAATAAAAAAATTATTTTGAAAATATTTAAAAAATAAAAATAAAATAAAATAAAATAAAATAAAATAAAATAAAATAAAATAAAATAAAATAAAATAAAATAAAATAAAATAAAATAAAATAAAATAAAGTAAAATAAAATAAAATAAAATAAATATAAAATAATCATCATAAGGCTATTTGTATAGTGCAAAATTCCACATAACCAAGGGACATTCTCAATGGAAAAGGCAATAACTTTGAAGAAGAGTAATGAAATCTGAAAATACATTGTTTCCATTGTTGTTATTGCATTACACGCGGCCGGTTTGAAGTTCGAAGACATCTCACATGTTGTCTTACCAATCACAACAAGCTGAGATGAGTATTAAATCAAACAATGCGGCTTATGTTTGTTGTTGCTGTGATTTGATTTTATGTGAGTTTAATGCCAGATCTGTGTACGATATGTTTTTTCACAACCGGAACAAAAGGCAGAATGGTTTCGATCACATTCAGCCGGATACAATGAACGTAATTGTTTTACAAATACACACACGTGTACATCGACTTGGAATTAAATTTCATCAGTTTATTTGTAACTTTATTTGCTTTAACGCGCTTTAACGTGCTTTTAGGGGAAATTTCTTCATGCATTTTTGGGAGCCATGGTTTACCCCGCGGTGCATCCGGAGTAGCGGTACATCGAGGAGCGTTAAGTCGAGGGACCACTGTATCTTCCCCCACTGTCCAAACCCAAACAAGACTTAGATCAGAGACCAGGATAATCAACAGACATTTCCCAAATTCTTTGGTTATAAACTCAGATCTCAAGTTGAACAAAGTTGTCATTTTTCAGTTTATTTTGGCTTAATGTTTTGGGAAATCTGTAGATAACATAATATGTGTTATGTCTGCAAATATTCTGGACTAGACAATATACAGCACAACTCATGTCAGCTACAATGACATGTTGTTGTTGTTGGTTTGTTGTTTAACACCACACTCAGCAATATTCCAGATATATGACAGCAGTCTGTAAATAATCAAGTCTGGACTAGACAATCCAGCGATTGACATCATGAGCATCGATCCACGCAATTGGGATGACATGCATCAACCAAGCCAGTGAGCCTGACCACCTGACCCCGTTAGTCACCTCTTACGTCAAGCATAGTCACCTCTTACGTCAAGCATAGTCACCTCTTACGGCAAGCATAGTCACCTCTTACGGCAAGCATGGGTTGCTGAAGACCTATTCTACCCCGGAATCTTCACGGGTCGGGTTCTACAATGCCACGTAACAAAGTCACCAAGTTGGACCACCTCATTCAATGCCTCCTATGACAAGCAATAGAGAGGTGCTGTCTCACCCACACCAGGTTAGGAGTATATAACAGGTAATCATATATATTGCAGGAATTGTCTAAACCTGTCCAGTGGCCAATTTTCAGCCCAAAGCCTACAGCAAATGCCCTTAAAAATGCCCAAGTTGGAATTAAAACGTTCCCAATTCATGTTAATATAGTTATATCTAATGTGTCAACTAGTATTTAACATATCAGAACTAATAAAAGGACGAGGTTTTAACGTTTAGTTTAACATTATTAGATGTAATGTTCATATACAAATTTAATTTTAAAAACTCTGAATTTAAGAACATAGGAAATATAAAAATATTTTGAACAAAATAACAATCACCCCCCACCCCCATTTCGCTTACCAAGATAAATCATTGTGAATGGAATGTGGCGTGCACCTACCAGTACAGCAGGGAGTGTTACTGACCATATATTCCACAATGTGTTCTCTTTCCTGCACTAGTCACACACACTGTGACTCACAATTATAAACCAACTGTCAAAGTCATGACATCAAATGCACATGATAAGGCTGGGAACAAAAATACTTGTTTCTCGGGGAATTATTTTTTTTAAATTGAAAGTGGACAGAGTTAGATTTTCTTTTATTGAAATTCGATTATATATATATTTGTTGGATCACGGATCCGCTGACCCTATTTACATTACAATTGGTCAAAAAATAATAATCCAAATAAACAATTACATTTTTTTTCGGCTGACACGTCTCACACCCCAAATTACTTTCAGATTACATGTACTTAGTTTTAAAAAAAGAATACAGTCAAGTCCCGTTAATCCGACATCAATGGTTGCATATGATTATGTCGGATTAACGAGTATGTCAGATAAACGAAACTAAGTAGCATCAATGATCGTGATCGAAAATCAGACAACTACACGAAAGATAACGATTCAAACACGTAATAAAAAGACATAAAATAAATATTCATATCATGTTACATTGTTGGTGGAATATGTTTTCTAATCATGCAACCTCTAAAGTTTGACACAAAACAACTGTTACTGACTGTATGACTTACTCAAAATACTTTAAAAAGCATAGTCTGGAATGGAAGTCGCAAACTTTGAAACTGGTACCACAAAGCTTAAGAAAACAGCTTTCTAAGTGGCTAACGTTGACTTCCTGTTAGTCATTTTGAGGGGTAGGTTATAGTTCGTGAAAGGTTGTTCTGACGTGACCTGTAGTGGGATGTCCTCACCGATACCGAGAACTTGTATCTTATTTTAATGAGATTGAGGTAATCTAAGCATGTGACTAATCCTGTTTTCTTTATTTAAAGCATTAGTTGTTTATTGTTATGCAAGTTTATCTCTGCAGCCGTTGTAATATGCAGTTACCATGGTTACCAGCTGATTCATCTCGCTTTAAAACACGGCCTGTGTACTCACGGGCACTCGGGCAGATGACCACGGAGTACGCTGATCACTGTGTCGGATTAACAAGACTGATTAATGATTTCGGTAATTTGTTGTAAATTAGGTGTGTTCGAGTCGGAGTGCGAGTGCCCCCAAGAATATATTGAATACCCAAAGAAAACCAATGCCCAATGTGAATGATAACATACAAAAAGGTTCCGAATGTTTATGGGGGCCTTGGGGAACATCAAACATGTGGTTTACACACTGTACCTATGTTGGAAATCTAATCCAAGTCTTTTGGAGTACTAGCGAACACTTTAACCACTAGGCTAACCAACTGTCCACTGTGAAAAGCCATGAAAACATATGGAATAGCACTGTACACTCCTCAGGGAGAATGAACATTGTGTGCATACTGATCCAGTGACTGGGGTAATAATAGGGAATGAGTGAGTTGGGTTTAACGCCGCTTTTAACAGTATTCCAGTTATATCACGGCGTGTCAGCTTAATGTGGGAGGAAAGCCCGAAGTGATGCATGCCTCAGATGTTTACCACTTCGGTGAAACCCACGAGCACGGGTATGGTGCTGACAAACCTAGAAACATAATCGGGGCGAACCGGGATTAAAACTCACAATCATAGGTTTCTGGTGTGCCCAAGGGATGCAACTCTGCACAGCGAATTGCGGTGCCTTAGACGACTGGGCCACCCATGCCCCTGGAGTAACAATAGATCTATCATGGTCTAATTGCATTTAAGCAGTTATAAATTGAAAAGTGAGCGATATTAATTCAGAATATAGTTATAATCAGTAAAACTGAGGAAGACTGATAAAAGAGCTGATAGACTCAACAAATTCCTGGCTCATGGTTGAATGAGCAGCTGTGACTGACAGGTCATAATGACTTAATTCATTTTCAACCAAGTTCTGGAATGGCTTCTCGCTGAAGTTCATAATGCTATGTTTATCAGCCACATCACAAAGGAAAGATGTTGCAAGAATTCTCCTGTATCGATATTTGATTTCTGATTGGCTGATACCATGCAGCAAGTCTTCATGAACCTTCATGTTCCCCTTGGTCGAACATTAACTAACATCTACCCACATCCCCCTTGAGACCGTTCCATAACTCATAAACTCAAAACAAAGGATAGCAAAAAGCATAGGACAGAGTTGAATATACTTGAAAGTAATATGTGGCAAAGTAATGCTGGAATGAGGGTTTGGGGGAAGAGAGCAGGGGTTAAAAAGTCTTTCAGCTGCTC